GGCGATGGATCCGTGATCCAGTAAAACTTTGGCTCTCCGAAATACAATACAAAAATTAGCTTTGTAATGGATATTGTAGAAATACGTAAACTTATCAAACCTTAAAGTGCGGGTGCTCCTTATGACGCTTCCACCCGAACACACGGAATCATACTATCAGACTAAACCCCTACTATTTTACCGGTCTCGTGCAATCGCTAGTGATTCAGGGACTGCTGCATACCATACCTGCTGCTATTTCAGTCTATCTAATTGCGTTTCGGAGTACGGAATGATTGAAAAAGTGATCGACTTCTTTCAAGTCGTTGGTTCAACTTGAATATAATGACTGCAACCGCCGTGAGTTCATTTGACTACGAACTCTTAAAATTACTCGTGATATAAGCTGACGCTGAACTATATATATGCAGGACAGCATGCTGTTTATCGCTGAAACCTTTATTATTGTCAAAGGTGTTTCTGCCAATATCGAATTGTTATTTCACAACTAGCAGCTGGGGCCACACTTGCCAGACCATCTGCCAGAAGATCAAGGGCTGCATCAGTAACTTGCATGTTCCCTTACCGCGAAAGTGTGTATAGTGTACGAACCAATCTTACTGGAATGTCTGTTATTTGGGTTCTAGGAACCGCTTACAACTGCAATCCTGTAGCTCACTGGACCACGCACATAAACACATACACAGACTGCCACGCCGGTGAGTGATGGGGTCAGATCCTGGATGAAATCTAGTGATACTTATGCCACCTTCATATAGGTTATTGTATACTTTCTCGCATACACTGCCTTCACAGTAATATGCAGTTGAGCCGGAAGGGATAGTATAGTCACCGTCAGCACCGAGAGACTTCGACGCTCAAATTGAACGGCGAGGACGATCGAGAAACGCTTTGTGAGTTGTGGCTTAGAATTATGAAAATAAAACTGACGTGGAAAGTAGGATGACGACCGCTTGCTTTTATGTCCTAGATCCTTGTGTTTTTTGCGAAACATATCCACCTGAAATAATCCTTAAAACAGGTATTTACAATGCCAGCTGGTTGCCAACAGACCCTAGATTTGACTTACTCAGTCCCCAATATTCTATTGATGGAAAAATACTAGGAAAGGGTTACGGCATACGGTAGGTGACACGTAGTCTCCTGTAGTCAGACAATAAGACGTCCGTTCTTTCTGTATGAGGACTGACATGAGGAGCCCAGGCAACAGCCATCATAATGGTATCCGACACTGAGCGCCTTTTTGACAGTGTGCGATACCGACTGCTAAATGATTATCAAGTTTCGTTCTCACTCATGTAAAGATCAGGCAGCTTTTCTGGTGCGCTGCGTAGCCAACTACAGCTGTGCAACCATTTGGGGATGAAATACACAGACCGGCCGCTCAGACTCTGATTATTATGGCATTCTAAGTGTGGTCTTCGAGCCGGTTGCTATTGCTTACCATGAACTCGTTATGTAGGCTAGTAAATCGCTAATCGTAGTTATTATAATCCTAATGGCAAAATTTAGTGCTTTCCTGTGCTTTCTCTTCGCCTTTATGCTCCTGATATATGAAGGATGCAACACCGTCAACTTGAAGTTCGCCTCGATATCTTATACTTTCAGCTGCGATCGACTCGAGGAATGGTTTGCATGAACCGCCAAACGAGTTGCGCGATCCACGACAGCTCACTGCCACAGTATAGTCTAGATTTGATCGAGCTCGGGGGACGCCTCTGATCCCCGGCGATAATTCAACATATGGTGATCTGGAAGCCAAATATAAAGATGTCGATGACTCCTCGATCGTGAATCGCATCTGCAAGTCTCGGCAAAGTCTTTACGGGCCCCGTCACGACACTTCCTCATGTGCAATATTAATACAGATCCAGGTGGCATGGCATGGGACTCGGATGGCTAATTTCAGGCGTCTCCTCGGGTTGACGCGGGCTTGATGAATCCTGTGATCCATGATGTTTACGCTTGACTTCAATTTGAAGTCCATTCCACGGACTACCACTGGTGTGATGCCTCGTGCTCATTCAACCGTATACAAGGCCTGGAACAGTTTCACGATGAATCCAAGTATGGTTAGAAAAAAAAGTACATAATTGTTGTACGCGCCAGTCATATATTCCTTCCTTGTTCAAATAGAAAGCACATCCTTAATCTGCGTCGCAGGAATTGCTTCAGCATAGGCCCTTCTCTTCAAACGGACCTGCGTAGCCTGTTCAAACGCATAAGCGAAGCCAATAAGATTGAATTCGCTGTATGCGGTGCCTATGAAGGCTATCCCAAACGGAAGGCCTGGAGCTTGTGTGTGCAGTGGTGCAGCGGGAACTGGCAATACCTCAACATTATCTGGCTGGAAGCCCAGCGGAACTAAGTATTCGATTTGGTCAAATGAACCGTCATGAAAATGGGCGTTCGCACCTGAGATTATAGGGTATCCGGAAATCGCTGCAGGTTTCGAGGCAGTCCCTAAGGAAGTTTGAGGTCCCGAAATTGACGCAAGCATATGATCGTACGTACCATCAGTAGGAAGAATGATTGCATCCAATTTGAATTTTTGGAGAGTTGCATCAATGCCTCGTCTCCGGCCTAATTCGAAATCTTCAGCTAAAGCTGCATAATATGCATCATTCTTTTCCGTCGCTTCGGCAGCAATAAACCTTGTAGCAGAGTAAGCAACCCCCCATAGCACCACCAGCTCGTGAACCCACCTAGATTGATCGTCGTGGTATGGTGGTATAAGCTCCAAGTCTGCGTGGGTATTGTTGAACTCGATCAAATCTGCGAGGTTCTTTACGCCAGTAGGAACCTCAAGTAACCCCGAAATATACTCGGTCAAATCAACCTTGAAGTCTGTCTTCAGCACGAGTGTTTCTGCCTGTGACTCCTTCATCTCCTCGGCACAGGGGAAATCAGCCGGATCTACGATCTCCGCGCCGAGAGCCCGGAAGGTGTCTAAAGAAGCGTTGAAAGCTTCCAGAATTGCTTTATTGTCGCGCAGGAATATCCGCGGCACTCCCAGTCGCTTGCCTTTCAAAGCGTTCGGATCGAGCGCTTTCATGTAGTCAGGGAGAACACCGGGTTGGTACAACGTGGCCGTGTCTCGAGGATCTGGTCCTGCTATAACGGAGAGCAGAAGGGCCGCATCTGTAACTGACCTACACATAGGTCCAGCTGTGTCTTGATGCGATGAGATAGGTACAACTAAAGAGACTCAACCGACTGTCAAGGTGTGATTGATAAAAGTAGCTACCTCCAGCTCGAGAAACCAACCCTACAGTGGGCTTAATGCCCACCACATTGTTCTTGCTGCTTGGTGAAACAATGGAACCATCCGTTTCCGAGCCCAGAGAACCAGCAGCAAGACCGACGGCCATCGCAACCCCACTCCCAGAACTCGATCCAGATGCATCCCCGTTCGGGTAATAGGGACAAAGAGTCTGACCTCCACGACCTGAGAAGCCGTTTGGAACCTTTCCGCGATAGTTTGCCCATTCAGAGAGGTTCGCCTTTCCAAGAAGGATGGCGCCGGCTTCGCGGAGCTTAGCAGCGACGAATGCGTCCCTGGGAACGATGGAACCCAGGAGAGCATAGGAGCCTAATCTCGCCAAACATTTAACCTAGAACTAGAAGTTCTTGGATATCGTACCAGCGGTAGTATTCATGCCTTCAGGAGGATCAGCATCCTGAACATGCATCGTTACAGTTACGCACCTTCTTCATGCAGTGTAGCAATGTTGTCTTTCAGTAGTAAAGGGATGCCGTGCAGCGGGCCTCTGCTCCCTTTAGACTTGCGCTCGTCATCGAGTTTTTTAGCCTGAGATAAAGCATTCGGGTTCGTCTCGAGGACTGCGTGGAGAGCTGCGCCCTTCAGATTGACCTCATCAATCCTTGCAAGATAAGCCTGTATTCGCGTAAGTCGTTATGCAATAAACCAATTTTGATTGATAGTAAGTCACCTTAACGAGATCAACGCTCATAAAGTGCCCCAGCTCAAGACCCTTCTGAAGGTCGAGAATTCCGGATTCATACAAATCAGGGAACACGTTCTCAGGCTCCGAGAGGACCGTGACACCGCGACTGAGCATGTCTCCAGGCATTGTACACGGCAGGCGCCAAGAGATCTAAAGAGGTAACGAACGGGTTGGGGCCAGACAAGTTGAACTGTTGTCTATTGATAAAGGACTCGGACTTCCGACCGAGTCTCTGACATACGGACCGCGGCGGACTAGCTAAAATTGACTCGCATAGTCACGAGGGTACTTGAGGCTGAGAGATAGGCTTCGATGCGGCGCCCAGCGGCAAGACCAGAAGTATTATAAGAAGGGCATCGCTGGGAGTTGGCACTACCGCCGTGACCCGTCACTGGCACTTCCATGGATCCACTGGCAGGAGTCCAGGACCATATCATGATATGATAGAGACTACACCGCTGTAATCTTGTAAGTTGACTTGGCACACCGCACAGGCACGTATCGACCCTATGATATGTTTATTGTACGGCTTGCGCGAACCTCGGGTCAACGTTTCAACACTGATCATCATTGATGCGGCAGATGGTCATCGGATACATATGCATCTGTTCAGATCCGATAGGCCGATGGAATGGAAAGATCAAGGTGTAGGACATCTGACTCGATGTGTGGCTCGGAAACATGTTCTTTTGGTTGGCATGTGGGATAAGTACGGATCCTTGACAAACGGCGAGCCGTCTATGTAATGATAATGGTATGTTCACGGAACAAGGACTAAATGATAGTAAATGATAAAAGGATCGAAAGAATAAAAAAGTATAAGCAAAGCAAAGTTCGAAAGTATGTCCAGTGTGTACATAGAAGTCAAGAGCCGTTTTGTCGTTGGTTCGTCTTGCCTTGATTACGTAAGTCCAATCATAAATAAACACGTAGGTGCCGTGGTATATCATCAGGGCTCATGCCAGTGGACTATGAGTACTTGAGTGACCAGTCCGTTGAGATTTGTTCGTGGATTAGCGTGGGTGAGTTATAATTTATTTCCAGCCAGGATAGCTCATCCACACGCCCTGAAATGCGGTGTTATTTTGGCGCGGGAATGAAATACTATTTGGGTTTATGCTATGGAGTGGAACAGCTGGGAGGTGGGCTGTGGCGGACGGGATGAGGATGCAGTGGACAATCTTCGTGGCCGGTTTGGATTGGGGCGGCGAAAGGTCTGAATTGCACAAGGCGTCAGTGATCGTAACTACCAAGTGAGGAGGCACTGCATACGTGTCGTGACATTATCAGCTTTGCCATGGAGAGAGGCGCAGGATTTTGGTACACAGCCGGTGCTATGATGCAATAGGTAAGTAATGGAGAACAGAAACCGATAGAATTTTCTGGCTCACGTGGTGGCTGGAATTGAGGAGCTGGTCGACACAATTGCCAGTTGCCGGGGAGAGATTCAAGAGTTTTATGCGAAAGTCCTACGCCTGCCCCTGTGCCAACTTCAGGTGATGGTTTCTCCGGGATGGTCAACGAAAAGGGTAGTGACGCTGGGAGAGCACGCTGCAAAGACCGACTCCAAGTGTTGGTTAGCGACAACAAAGAGGACCAAGCGGGGGTCTTCTCGTCGGTCGCTGTTGATAGAGAATGGCAAGACCAGAGACGCATAAAGACATACAATATGCGTGCAAGCAACAGACAAACGAAAGATGCAAAGCAGGCAAGCATGACAGCAGCAACGCTAGGAAACTTGGTGGGTACAAGGACGCTCATAGTAAGAAGCAGTCAAGGGAGTACACCCTGCTTGTTAAAGGAAAAGCACGGAGATTGAGACCACGAAGAACGAGAAAGAAAAGGACGTGCTGGGCAAGGCACTAGACTGGCTGGCTAACAGGACCGAGCACAGCTCAAATTGATATTCAACATGGTTTCTTATAATAATATTTCGCAATTTACTTTTTGGGCGGACGTAATTCATTTCGGAAATACATATGCATTTTTTATTCCCACGGCATCTTGTTCGCTTCCTCAGTTACGTCCACCTTTCCGTCGATCAACACCATGACCCCAACGCCTGCAGGACATTAATCTTAAGAATCTGTTCAGGCTCGTCATGAAGGATGCTGCGCGGCACTGTCTTATCAGCCCTTACCGCGTCGCCGCCACGACACGTTTATAGATCACGAGGATCCCTGGCGGCGTCGTCTAGTCCTTTTTGTCCGCTAGTGCCGCCGCATCATGAGAATGATCATATTTAGTAGTAGTTTCTAAATGGGAAATTAAAATACCAAGTGGTACTTAACTAGTTTGTGCCCTGCTCACGATAATTTTGAATCACGGAATGGACACGATCAATCACGAACACATACGAAGCCACACACGACACGGAGCCATGTCAACTTGAAATGTGAAAGTATCATAGGGTTTGGGGTTGAATGTTGCCCCAGATTGCGCTTACCCGATGACGATCACCCCACGAACCTAACCTAAAAGATAAGTTCTTCGCGCCTGAACAAGCCCTCAAGCGCGCTTTAATCTCTTCTAGATCGTGGGCGAGAAGCTATATGACGCTCAGAGTGTAGCTCATGTAAGGCTACGCGCATGCTTCGAATGCGTGCTCGTGATAGGCTTCCTGGGGCTCGTTAGCATGCAAGATCGTTTCCTTATTAATGAGGTCGCGTACCGGCCGCAACTCAAAGGCCCTCGTGTCCGCTATGCTTCCAGACACCACGTTGTCCGCCTTCATCGTCCAACCCAAATAAGGGCCCGACTCTCTGCGCAACTTCATTGTCGCACATCAGCCTCACGCTATCATGCAGGTTACCAAAATTGCAAATTACCTCCGCCTCCGGTAGAACAACGCACATACACCGTGGCAGGGGTGACTGCGTCGGCTTGAAGGTCCGTTCCACCATTTAATACCAGGCCACATGTGGTGAAGTGCCCAACCTAATTAGCTTGATGCCAGTGTCCGCGGGGAAATATTTAATTCTTTCTGCCGCTCTAGGTATACGAGAACTCACTGATATATAGACCTCCGCCGCGTTCCAAAACCAAGCGCTAGGACAGACACCCTCAGGGGCCAGATTCGGGAAGTCGCCAATGTAATTGACTATTCTTGTAGTAAACAATTGTGGTGGGCCGAGAACGTAAATGATGTCTACCTGCATGTCCAGCTGATTACGCATGGCGCGACACAACAAATGTGGAAGAACTTAATATACTGCTTGGGGTAAACGTGAGGAAATATTGGAAGGAGAACTAAACTGACATGGTCACGTCAACGTCATGGTTGCATAGACTCAGCATGACACCATAGGAAACCATGCACTGAAAATAGGGGCATTATTCTTTCGATAGACAAGTATCACTATACCTTCACACCAAGATCAAGATATAGGGATCGGGGGATGCTGCTGCTGTAGCCGGGCGCAAGGACGATGTGCTTGACCTTTGAGAAATGTCACATTTCTTCACGATCAATGACCACATCCCAAGATTTTGTGACGTCGTCATAGACTGTTTCCCCAGATTACTCGACGATGGCCAGACGATCATGTCCAAGAAGTGAGCATAGCCTTCAAAACAATTGAAAATGGAAATGGAATTCAATGAACTTTTCATAAAGCTTGCTGGGGGACTTACTTTGGATGCAGGGCTGAAACATGGCCGAGTGAAGGGGAATCTGCGTGTAAAATGAGCAAAAGAATAAGCTAGTGAAGGAACATTACCTGAAATAAGCCGTGTGATTAAGATTTGTACCACAGGGCGGACAAAATGACCCTGAACCTAACAAATCACGCACTGATTGAATTGTGCAAGATGATGATCTGCGTCAAGTTCTTCGGTGAAAGGGACACGTGAAGTTGAATGAGATCGTGAAGCTTTGAAGAGACGTGCATTGTCTCCCACCCGCGCATCACATCCGATCACTAAGGCGGACTGTATTTCAAATGTGCAACGACTTGCAAACCGCACTGGCTATGTAGCTCCAATAACACGCTGATCTCCGGATCGCTGCTAGGAAGATTTTTCGTTTCTCTTCCCAGGCTCCGTTGAAAATCGCATGACTGCGAAAGATGCCGGCCTTGAAAGAATGTAAACGTATATCAACAGGCATGCACACAAGGAGGAATACGTTTGAACCAGCACGTAAGTCAAAAATACTTTCAGCGTATCAATGTGTTGACAGAGCATGTGCTTTCCAGGCCACTTGGGGGCCCGGTCCGCTTGGGGTTAGATAGTAAACACTACCTTTCCCATAAGGTGCCATGAAAGTGAAAGTGAAACGAATAAACACTAGGTCTGAACGCGGCACGATATGAGCAGGTATTTTGCGTACCTCACTCAATTGGAGATTTATTCGCCTCGAGTCGTGCGCCAAGAAGGTGCCTGATATCGGTTTTGCCTCCTAGCCTGCGAAGGTTCCAAGAAAGGGTACACCGACAGCTCTCCCAGGAACCCACTTCGTGGAAGATATCGAAAGTTGAAGTTATGCCATTCGTGCGAACAGCGTCGATAAAGGCATTGAACTATTTTTGACCTCTTCCATAGGAGAAGCCGCCTCGAGAATGGCTTCGGTGGTGTACAGGGAATCAAAAAGTTGGGAGAAATCTTGTACCAGCAGCCAATACAAAAACAAGATCCAATATTGAGGTACAGTTCCGAGTCTCACATGCATACACATGTTTGGTCCACGGCCAAAAATATACCCAGACTATCACGGCCCATGGCATATCAGTGAAAGCAGTCACTGCGGTTTCAAAATGACACGAGGCTGCTTTTGTGAGTCCCCGAAAAAGAGCTAAAGGCAGGCGTCATCACAGCTTCCGATCGGATGAAATTCGTAAAAGTTTCTCGTTGAATTTTATCAGGGCAGCGAGTCTTGACGCCCGTCGGAACGTCGACAAGTTCCGACAGGTGCTCGTTGAGGGAAAGTTCACGTCCAGTAGCCGCTTCTCCGCCTTTGATGTCAGTAGTTCTTCTGTATCCAGGAAATCTGCGGGGTCAACAATTTCCGTGCGCAAAGCTCGGACGATGTCAAGAGATGAGTTGAACGCCTCTTCGATTATCTTGACATCGCAGATGAAGAACGAGGCATTCCAAAACGAGCGCCTTCAAGGGCGTCTTTGTCGAGCTTTCATGTAGTCTGGGACTAGTCCGGACTAATATAAAGTAATTTCATCTCGAGGATCAGGCCCAGCCAGATTTTGCTGCATCAAATGCGTCCCAAGGAACGACAGAAGCCAGCAGAGCGTAAGAACCTAGGATAGTCCCAAAAGCTGTGATCTGCAAAATGGCAGGCAGTGGCCGTGTAGCACAGAATGTACCTGCGATCGTGTCCATTCCTTATCCGGATATCGATTTATTAGCACTGCATGTACATGTATAACACAGAAAATCACACCTTCTTCGTGCAGCTATCTTTCAACAATAATGGTATTCCGTGCAACGGCCCGCGGCCGCCTTTGTCTTTCCGTTCATCGTCAAGGGCTGCAGCTTGTGATAAGGCTATTGGATTAGTCTCGACTCCCGATGACCGCATGTAACGCAGGACCCTATTTCCTCGATTCTGTCAAAGTAGGCCTGTGATTGATTAAACTTCAACACTGCATGAGATGTGTACTGGAGCAGAATTCTACCTTGACAAATTGAACACTAGTGAAGTGTCCTTCGACTAGACCATATTAAAGTTCCACAATTGAGGCCTCGCAAACATCTGGCAAAGCGACCGTGACATTGGACGCCAGTTGAAGGTCATCAAATCCCAGTAGATGTAATGTAAGAGGCCTCTGTTAGCCGTTGTGGGAGGACGGTCAAAGTGTCTGTATTACTAGTGCCTGGGAGCTGAAACCCTTTGAATGCCCGTCCGAAGTCACATCAACTTTCTGCACACCAGAAAACCGGTTCGCAGTCCTTTGGGTGCGTTACGTTGATGCTTAGCGCTGAGCCTTTACTAGTACGTCGTTTTAAAGATGAAAATAAAGAATATGCTCTGCATATATTGTCATGTATAATGGCTTGGTGGAGGGACGATGAGCCAACATTAAGTTATACAACGCACGTGCCTTTTCAAATTCAACGCGGTCACTGTCCTCGTGTCACTGCACCAGGCTGCCAACCGTTACTCCCTGCAATCACAACTCGGACTGCTCTTCTGCTGCTCATTTCAACTCACTGGCAGCCTGAGGCTCTGTACTCCGCACTGGGTTCAAAACCGTCAACTTTCAACGACAAGTGACTTCAGCCCGACTTCAAGTTCAACCGTCACTTTTTTTTACTGTCCGAGTCCCTGAGTCCGCCGGGTCATTGGACTCCATCTCACCCGCTGGCAGGCTACAGTACAGTTGGAGCCCGAGCCCCGCTGCTGTGAAGTCACGGTTCCCAGTGTATGGCAGCTCCGAGTCGTTCAACTACTGTGACTAGTGGTACAGTCAGCCTTCGAGTCCAAGTCGCGGCCGCTATCATTACTATAATCGTATTCTGCTTACTGTCACGGTAACCACTGGGCCGAGTCCAAGTCCCAATGGTTGACTCAGAACATTACCATCCGCTGTTCTGGCTGCGCCTGAGGAACATCACCGTATCGCGCAAGACCAACGAACATACGTGTGGTTAGGTGACTGGCTCAATGATAATCGGGGGGATCCAGCATTCAAGGTAATCACTTAAGTACTTCTGGCATTGGCTCGATGCTAACAAACAATTAGAATTCTTGCCACAACTCAAGACACATCTTCTTGGGCGTCTCAAAGGAAATGAGTATGTTGGCGAGGAACCGACGTTCACACCGCACGAGATCGACGAGGTCGGGTTCCAACACAACCGTGTTTACAATCATGCCACCGCCAGTATCAACTATACAACATATGATGTTCGACGTGATCAAGACAATTCACATACACTCAAACAATTCACTCGACTGATCTGCAATCATGGTCGCTTCTCATGAGACCGCAGATGACGGTGTATCTCCCCATCCATACTGGTATGCACGGGTGCTTGGCATCCATCATGTCATGGTTGAACATCCATCCATACGCAAAGCTACTCGAATGGAGTTTTTACGTGTGAGGTGGTTTGGTCGTGATCCTGACTGGGCGAGTGGGCCAGGGGCTCTTCGCCTTGATCGCATTGGCTATGTGCCGGACTCAGATGACGAGGCATTCAGATTTCTTGTTCCTAGTCATGTCTTACGTGCATGCCATCTCATTCCTGCTTTTGCGCTAGGGAAAACGATGGATTTGCTTGGACCTTCAAAGTATCGCGACTCGGACGAAGGGGATTGGGTCAATTACTATGTCATGAGATATATCGACAGAGACATGATGATGCGCTATCTGGGGACCGGCATTGGACACATGCATCCTCCCGGGTTTCCGAACGAGACTCAGTCACTCCAAATTGTTTCCGAAGATCGTTATGTGCCTCCTGCAACAAGACTCGACAAGCGGACAATTTGTGATGTCTCCGAAGACTCTGACTCGGACGCGTGGAACGAAGATGGTTCAGAGAAAGACTTTGATGAAAATGTATATGAACTCTGATACATGGTGTTACAACGTAGTCCAGATGGTAGTTATTGATTCCATAGGCTTCTTTAGCCACGTTTCAAAGACATTCTCTTCTGCGACGACATCAGGATGAACATAATATGAAGCAACAGGCGTAAGTAAAGCCTGTGCAAGTACCCAGTTGTCCAGGTGTGATCGCGAGGGTCGTGTGCTGGATTCATGACGTGCCACTAGTAAAAAGTGGCACTTGAGCGTGCAGCATGTAGGCGCATCTACTTTGAGCCACTGGTCGAGGCGACCTCTGGGCTTACGGCGGGGCTTGCCATCCTTATACCGAAGACAGACCCAGATGAAAACCCAGATGAATGATTCAGCATCGTGCCGGTACACGTGTTTAACTACGCCATCGATGGCCGATAGTGTGAGCAGTTTGATCGCCATGAAAGGCACCGTTCCTGTGCGCTCATTGCCTCTGGCACAATCATCTTGAATGGAAGATAAATCATAGTCGTTGAGAACGCCTATTACACGACCGCATGAGAGCCGATAGTACATGAGTTTGCTGGGGCTGATATCACGGTGATAGACACCACCTTCCCAGAGTATACGATGACCTAGAGTCACAGTTAATGGAGTCTGGACAATAGCTAGAACGAAATCAACGAACACCTACAATTAATGATTTGCCACCATGCATCGCGAAACTCGGGCCCACTCAGGTCTGTGATCGGCTCAAGCTTCCTGAATACGATGATGTAAAAGACCCGGCTGCCCTGCGTATCGTGATTCATTCCTAATGCCTTTCTGATGTGGGCCGTGGATGTCTCATCAAACATATGGAACCAGACCGTGTCTGGGACATGGCCCTTCACCCGCAAGTCACGTTCAGCGATCGCATGCACTTTCGCGAGTATCTCAGGCTCGCTCGAGCGCGCCTCTTCTGGCCAGAAGACTTTGGCGACCATTTCGGTCATTGTATTATGAGGAGGACCAGGCGGGTGGGTATCAGGAGGAGTAGGGTCGACGGCAGATGGTTCATTGGGATGCTCGCGTGCCCGGAGGCGGCGAGCCAAATAAACGCACGTGCCTCAACGTTCAACAGTCACTTGTCCTCGTGTCACTGTACCGTGACATGTACACTGCTGAGATCAATTTCCAACAGAGTTGGCGCCATCCTGATCACGCGCAATCTCGAACCAGACGTTCTAGGAAACGCGTGAGTTACATAGGAACTGTGCTCGCATGAATGGCCCATCTGTAGAATGCGGCCAGAAATTCTGAACTTGCCTTGGCACTAGCAGAAAAAGTTGAAATTGATGTGATCACATCTCATATGGACAGTTCTCGAACCTGCCAGAAACACTTGTTCGTCACTCTTACAGCACCCGGCCCGCTATAACCCTCGTCCCCAAGCGCTGTGCAAAACCCTACTGAATCCTGATCGTTCTTGTTTGCCATCGAACGCAACATGTCTGAAACACCTGCAGAGCGCCCTATCGCTTACTTTGATATCACTATCGGTGGAAAACCCACTGGGCGTATCGTATTCTCGCTCTATGCGGACTCGGTGCCCAAGACAGCTGAAAACTTTCGTGAGTTCTCAGATACTCTGTCAATCGCGTCATAGTTTTGACGTTTCCAGGTGCATTATGTACGGGTGAAAAGGGTATTGGAAAGTCTGGCAAACCCCTCTGTTACGCTGGATCTGGCTTTCACCGCGTAATCAAAGGGTAAGAGCTTTCACCTGATATCACAATGAAGGCTAACGCAGTGGATCAGGTTCATGTGTCAGGGTGGTGACTTCACGGAGGGCAATGGTGCGTCCTAAAGCTACATCCAAATGTCACAAACTCATCGTCTACATAGGCACTGGGGGGGAATCAATCTACGGCGAGAAATTCGAAGACGAGGCGTTCCTCGTGAAACACACGAAACCTTTCTTACTGTCAATGGTAGAATCCCCTCTCAGTTTCTATTCAGGAGAGTGGTGTTAATCGACTTTTCAGGCGAATGCAGGAAAAGACACTAATGGCTCGCAATTCTTCATCACCGTGAATCCAACATCCCATCTTGATGGCAAGCACGTGGTTTTCGGTGAAGTGATCAAGGGCAAATCAATAGGTATGATATATTGCCCAAGCGCTATCTTCCTTTTCCACGAATTGCTTACCGTGCTATGTGTAGTCCGTACAATTGAAAATTTCCCGACTGCTTCCGGAGATGTTCCCACTTCCCCTATCGTTATATCTGCTTGCGGCGTTCTCTCACCGGATGACCCCTCCCTCGTGACTTCCGAGACGACTATCGGTGATGGCTACGAGGACTACCCTGAAGACGACGATTCCGATGTGCAGAACCCCGAAGTTGCGCTTGATATTGCGCGTAAAATCCGTGAGATCGGTAACAAGCTCTTCAAGGATGGGCAAATAGAACTCGCACTCAAGGCGTACCTCAGTGAGCAATCCCGCAAACATTTCTCGCCTGCATTGTTAACAAGATGTTAGAATCGATAAGATACCTAGACGTCCATCCCGAATTGCCGGAAAACTCTCCACCGGAGCTCAAGGACTCTTATGAATCGCTTCTTGCACCCCTCTTATTAAACTCAGCACTCGCTGCGCTACGCACACAACCAGCAGCGACTGAAACTGCGGTGAAGAATACCACGCGAGCTTTGGACCGTCTGCAGCTGAGTAACCCAGATAAAGCCAAGGCCCTTTATCGTAGGGCGTCAGCGCATGTAATTCTGAAGCAGGAAGATGAAGCTGAAGCGGATCTTGTTGCTGCTAGTCAGCTTGCACCCGAAGACCCGGCGATCCTAGGAGAACTCGCGAAAGTGAGGCAGAAGAAGAAGGAAAAAAGGGAGAGGGAGAAGAAGTCATACAAGAAACTGTTCTCGTAGACTGATCAATATGGATATTAGAAGAATACCAGTTGACTAGATAGTTTAGCATTTCCTTACGTTACTCGTGAATGCCTGAATTCTCACTGGAATCCACATTATATCAATATAAACTTCGAATAATCTCCACATATTCGTTGCTCAAGGACCGCGAGGCAGGAAATACTTCTGCCATGGCGCCCAACCAGGCTGTAATTTGAACATCAGCGCTCAGCACTAACTTAACATTATCGTTGAGCAAAACAAAGTAGAATACACGAAGGCGAGTGTGATTCCTTTGATCCTTCGGGGGCTGTATAGCGAGGTGGATTGTGCCCTTGTAGTAAGTACCCGTACAAACTCGTGTGTCCCATCAGCCGGACAGTGTTTGTTGTACTTTTCGGTTCATGGGAAGCTAATCCACATGAAGTTGTGAAGAGTAGAAATTCAAGGAAGTGCCAGTGCTTATCACTTGAGGAACCTAGCTATTTGATGTGCTCAACAACCATTCAATATTTACTCACTGAACGTCTTATTAAGAGCGACAAGGTCATGATTGCCGACCAGCGTGCCCCCATGGCTCTAGGTTGCATGTTTTAAGCCTATGAGGGCCAGTCACGATCAGGGGAGTCGGGACGATCCTTGAGCGCAACAAGTTTCGTATTCGTCCGGATGAGACTCAACATATTGAATTGGTCGTATTTGTTAAACTCTGCGATCTCAGGGAGAAGAGGATGGATTGCCTCTGGGTGTTCTCACGTAGAAATTGACTCGAAGAACATGAGCTTCATCAATGAAAAATGATTTTCTGCTCACTGTGTGCAGAGACTCTGCCATCTACATCTTGCATTCAACTGGCTCGCGTGAATCAAATATCCATGTGCCAAGTGGGACATAACGGTTACGCACCCGGGCCGTGTATTGCCAGAGTCTATATCCTTCAAGTTGAGAACCCGGTGCGCCAGTGGCTTTGAAGGCGCGGAGGGCAGGACCGGGTTATCACACATATTTTTGGCTGAATAGAAGTCTCCGGCCAGACCTCCTTCGATACGATCCACTGATAAGTGTCAAGACGTCAATCACTAGACCGTATGACTGACTCTATTTGTAAAAGACTTGAGTTAGTAAACGGATCGAATCTATGTAGTATTACCATTACCAGACCGTAAAGCCTCCGCGAGCGATGGCAAAAATAGCATAAAGAAGGAGTTCCCGGGGGCACGTGACAGAGATGCTGCAACAAGCCTGCTGCAAAGGAGAATCACGCAACCTTGAAGTGACTAGAAGTCAGACACGCTCCCGACTTTGGAAGATCTAGTTCGGGTACGCTGTCTACTAGTAATTGTCTACTAAATATAAACGGCCGTGGATTTCTTTCTACATGCAGCTAAGCTACGCGCCATGCTTCTGGTTCGGCCTATCGCGCATGGCACGTATGTACTGCAAGTCTTCTTGACTGATCAGCACGACCTACCGTAGCGCCGAAAAAAATCCGATCGGTACGGTTCTCTTGCTTTGAGGTTACATGGACTACGACACAGCATTGGTTGTTCAACCCCTTAGTGACTATTGGGGCGCGCGGGGGGCGAGGGGTTTGATGTTTCCCTAGCGCTAGCCAGCAGCGTTTATAGGCCATCCGGAGGGAAGCAGAAACCTCGAAGTTTCGGATCTTTCATTCCTTGAAAAGTTTGGGACTGCGGACTGGCCGCTTCATGGCTGTGTGAACACGCTGTCAAATATCTTAAAAGTCCCTTGGGCTTTGATGGACACGCTCCAAACTCCACTCAGGCCCCCACTTACACGCAAGCAGGGGATTTCGCCTCATGTAGCCTTGGCGTATCTACAAAGTTCATGTGTTAGGAATGATTTACCGTGACATCATACAAATTTCATACCAGATAACGACAAGTGTGTGATAGTGGCCAAGCTGGCTATCAACTTGAAGTACTAGGATCACGCCTTTGGGGGGTGGGGGGTCGCAGCTGTTCGAAGGAACCGATTTGGCTGTATATCTTATCGGCTCATTAGTATTCTAAAATAGATCAGCTTTATAGCTATTTTTCAGAAACCATCTTACCATTCCAAACCCTACTGACAGAAATCTGGTTAGGCTGGGACACGACAGCAACCAACGGCACTCCGAGCAAAGTTTTAACTCCGCTTGATGTTTTGAAGCCAATCAATCCCGCCAATGCGCCCACCGCCGCCCACTGCCCATTTTCTTTTGTGCCTACCAGTTCTTTATCCGCCCCCTGCCTGGTAATAACCGCCAATATATCTTCGTTACAACAAAGACGAAAATAATGTGTACTCGTGTACTCACTAGTCCTTTTAGTAGCAGCCGCGCACTATACACTTGGCCTCCCGCGGGTGATCCGTACCACCTACGGGTTGACCGCACCCGTGATGCTCTGACCCGGGTGGGTACGGGTAGGTCTCTGGAAACTTCAGTACCCGCGGGACGGGTGGGGGTATAACCCGGGCAAGCCTTACCCGTGTCATACCCTAGAGACTAACTTTGGCCCAGACCGGCCATTTCAGAGGTGCCCTCAAACCCTAGTGTATGTTGGATTGTGACAGTCAGACTAGGCTGCTAGCAAGCCTCGCGAGGCAAAACATCGAACAGCAGAACAGGTACGTACGAGGGCGGGGCCTAGGCCTAAACGTTTAACGTTTGACTTTAGGGTCTTTGCCACTGATGCGTTCAGGGGCTTGTGTTTCCCATCTCGATCTACGTCGGAATGTACAGGCAGACCTCCAACACCGCTTGGTAAGGTATTTTCCGCTCGTGTATTGATGTTGAACAACTCAGTGACAGAGTGACTGGTCACTGGTGTTATCGGCGGTATAACGTAGAGTGAGTTTGGCGAAGGGAAGACGGGCTTTGGCGGAGAAGGATGATGGTGACCATAAGAGGGGTGGGCACCAAAAGCGTCAATCACCGGAGAAGGCCGAGGGTAACCGGTAATGGACGAGTATGGTGTACATATGTGCACTGAAGAAATTTGATATGGGAGTTAGATGTTGGCACCGGGTATTCTGGAGGCAATGAACAACCCGAGTTGAGTTGCTATAGGCGGCGACCTTCGTGTACACTAGACGACCGTTCACGTGAGCAAATATTGCCAGAAAGTTGTGGTCAAGAGGTTCTCGAAGTTCGAGGTTTTCGGGAGCTTGACGAGCCGAAATTAATATCGGAATGGCAATTGCTGGGAACCGATTAAATACCAATAGGGTGGTACAAATCGGCGGCCGAATACCCGTTCCGTAGAAATTATTTAAATATTTGATATTTGATTTTAGGGGTCGCACGGTAAACAAGTTAAAACAACTGCCAGATGCGGCCCGTTGTTGTGCTGTATCAGGCCTATTAGGCGTTTGTTAGATCAATCACGAGCCTCGAGGCCTGTATCAGAGTAACCCTGTATACGGCGCATCGTGTTAATATTACCCTCTATGATCCTCCGAGTCGGCAAAAGGACACAAGGAGTTCGCCTTGAGGCACCACCTCTTCCAGTTATACGTAACCTTCCCAGACCATCCTATAAAGCCATCATGGTGCTTGGGCCTCATGCTAGTAAAGAAGTCCCTCAACCCGAGATTCACGTCCTTGAAGCAAAATGGGTTTCTTCTCCAGCGTGTCTAACTTTTTCTTCGATACTGGGATCATGTCTTGGGATGTGCTCCTTACACTCTCCAATCTCGTGAGGAGGAAGCGCCGCATCGGGCACGTCACGCCCGAGGGCCACCCAGGTTATGGAGGGTACTGGCCCGAGTTCAAGCCTGCTCAGGAAGGTGACTCTCGTTGCTCATGCCCAGCACTCAATGCGATGGCCAACCACGGTTAGTCTTGATTCCCCATACAATAAGGCTCATGGATCTCTTACATTGAAACGCAGGCATCCTCCCACGCAGCGGCCGCGACATCTCATTTGTCGAACTTAACCACCAGATCCGGACAACTTACAACTTCGGTCCTTCCTTCTGCTCTTATGTGCCTCATTTCGCAGCTCGCATGCTCAAGAAAAGCTACAGTAATGATACCTTTGACTTGGAAGAACTCGACCTGCACAACGGTATCGAACATGACGCATCTCTTTTCCGTGAGTAATCTCCCATACTTGTATGGCCCTCGCATGTTGAATAAATCATCTTCAGGTCTTGACACTGCCCTTGAACCAAACCAATCGACGAGACACATACCTTTCATCGAGGAGTTACTTGCCGCACATACCGGCAAGGACCAGTATGGCAACGAGGTACTTACCACCAAAGATCTCTCGAGCATTCTCGGCAAGCGTCGCGCAGTAGCGCGTGCAACAAACACCGAGTTCTCGCTCAGCTTCTTCCACAAGGTCTTCGGTAGCGCCAAGTATGTGTCATTACGTAATAATTCGTTTACAAGCACACTCAACGTTTTGCAACAGTTCGTCAACACTGCTCACAATATTTGGAGGCCGTGTAGAGGACCTGCGCAGCATTGTTCTTCACGAGCGTATTCCAGAAGGCTGGGAGTCGCGCGTTCGCGAACCCTATGGACTGACTTTAACACACTTCAACAAGACCGTGCTGGCAGTTGAATTCGGTGTGCGCGAGAAGGATTGGGCGAAAGTAGCAGAGGAAGCAGCAGCACGTCAACGCACTGCTTCGGTTTAGGATCTCCTAAAAGACGTTGGATCGTGTCATCATTATTCCCCACATTTCTCCACTGACGACATTACGTTGCGTTTATGACTTGCTGCTAGCACATGCTCCTGTATATTGGATAATGTATGTTGACACCCTGGATACTTCAAATACCGAATGCTGACGATCGTTGCTATGTGATCCGCTCTTTGTCGTTTCACGATATTTGTGAAAAAGATTATGTATTGCAACGAAACTAATCAAAGACCAGCGCAGCTGCACTTCATATAAATCTCCGTAAGGGGTCTGCTCCAGGCCCAATATCGTGCACAACGTAGTAGCTGAAGAACAACACCTTGAAAGTCAACGCTAACGCTGCATGCAGTACGCCGACCACAATTATCAGTAAACGAGTGGCTTTTGCATCGGCCTAAACAGAGTTGTCAACAATCTCAATCAGGCGAGGGATATGACCATACCATCGCCAATATTGGGTACACGTTCGCTACCAGGAAGTACCCTGATAAGCAGAACGCAAGTCCCACCAGAACCCAACGTAAAATAGAGATGGGTATGACGCATAGTATCTGCAGGACAACGGTTACTCAAAAACGGTGCACCTAAGTTGTGTCCTTACCGAAACCGGTATCCAAACAAACAACGAGTAACCCCAGACACCAAGTGCTTCCGCTACGCCCCATTCACCAACGCCAAAGTAGCGTAGCGCGAGCCACAGGAGAACAGGTACTGCAAACGTGTATATATACACGATCGTTGCTGCCAGACTGAGTAGGCCAAAGTCATACTCATACGCAGCTCCCGGGTCAGAAAGGTAAGACGAGATGCTTGCTGCAAGTGACGAAGACAGAAATAACGCCAGTATAAGCGTGGTTGGGATCCAGAAAGGGCCGTATAGGTCAGCGCTGGGTGTAAGAATTGTCAGGTAGGAAGGTGAAGTGGGGAGGAGCGTCGTATAGCATCGTTTCAAGACGGTTGAAGTATCAACGTCAAAGTATGGCTGATAGTAATCGACTGTCCAGAACCCAGATGAACCTTTGTGCGTGGTGTGATCTGTAAGATATCCTGGATACGCGTCAGGGGAGAAGATGCGGCTGAATTTTCGACGTACCTCGGTCAAGGTTTGAGGCCCCGGACTGTGTTCGTTGCTCTGCTCTCGCGTCTGTCCCAAGGAAAGCTGCTTGGGTTGAATATCTGTTTACGCACTATGAGACAAACGTGCTCACATTTGAACTCGAGACCCTCTGGTCCTTCTTCTAGTCGCTATGGACCATTAACATGGTGAGAAATTTTATAGTAGTAGATGCTACTCACATCGTCTGCATCGACAGCGACATAAGCCATGGTGCCTCACGTAGAAAAGCGCAGAATGGATGCGAGAGAGGGTTAGTATGTCCAGGGACTTCTGGAGCAAATTGACGAGGACCCCGGAGATCTCCTCGTTGGCACTAGGGTCCTATACTTGCATTTTGGAACGAATAAAATTAAATAGAGTAAACTGAAGGGGGGACAGAGACACCCAGGCCAGGGGACATCTTTTATTTTATTTCGAATACATGCGGCGCCTTTTATTCTATAGACCATCGCGGGACCGCAGAGTGAGTCCAGGATGCGATATATATATATCACTATTTGGCAACACTGATGGTGAAGAAGAGAATCATCGCATTGATGACATGGTTGAGCCCTTCGATTCCGGCCAGGGTTACGCCTGACCGGAATGAGAAGGTTGGTTCTATGAATTAGCTGGAAACACGGCATGACCCATCAACGTTTCAACAATGAAGGGTGATGCTGCTGCCCCCGCATGCGAGCCATTGGCGACCAATGATAGTTGTTAGAAAGTGGATAGATTGAAAGTACCATTACAGTTGCATTCTGATCGGAGTACTTGCTGAGCGCTGAAGCGTTGATGCCCCAAGACTAATTGCAAATACGCACCTGAAATAGCACACGAAGATACGAACCAATGTTGACTTGGTAGCTTTGGGAATCATTTTCTTCAGGTTCTATGCCTCTCAAGCCGTAACTCGCCATGCGGATGTGTGTAAACACCGCAGTGGTTGACATGCTCCAGAATCCAAGAAAGGCCAAGAATTGTGATATCTATGCGCTTAGTGGCAGACCCACTCAGGCTGCTGCTGGTCACGATAGTCTCGAAGGCGGGAATCACAATCGCTGCAAAAATCTTGAAGACAAAATCATGCAAATATATTACATCTTCTCGGAATCTTCTTGCGTACAAATCACCACATTCTCGTTGGAAGGGGGTAAGCGACTAGAATAGTCAGGGGCGCTGGTCGGTAACATGGCTTGCAAGATAAGGGCAAACGTACATACATAGATCACAATTTATGCTTGATTTCTTTTTTGGCAATCTTGCTGAAGCGCTCAGCAGGTATTCCACTACTAAATCTCTCCGCTTGAGCATAACTTTCTCGCAGATTCACGGCGTGGAAGTCATTTTTCTCGTTCAAACCAGCTTTGATGAGGGTTTTGATGGCGAAGATAGAGGCGGGAACTAAACCATCGAGTTCCTTCTTGAGGTGTTGGTGAACCGCAGAGTGGAATTCTTCTGTTGATTTCGATGGAAAAATCTTGCTAAACCATTATCAGGATGGAGAAGGAAAAGTCGGGTGCGGGAACGCGTACTTGACAAATCCGCATTCAAGCATCTCTGATGCACTAATCTTCTTGTTAAGAATAAGAACCTCGTTTGCCTTGGCGATTCCCACTTGACAATATCATAAGAAAAGGTCGTATGGCAATGAATTCGCTTACTGCGGTTGACAAATGAAACACTGGCCCCTCCTTCCGTTGCAATGCCTGGGAGGGTGTAATTCTCCGGCGTGTATCGAAGAAAACAATCAAACGCACATACCCAGCAATGACATTCCAACATTCAACCAGGCCTCTGGCACGGCATATATGAAATCAAAGTTACCAAGGAAAGCTACGAAGAGCGATTAGAGATGGCGCGCATAGAATTTATAATGAACGTACCAGCTGTTAAGCCTAAGCTCGAGGTCGTCACTTGACCCGGTTGCGAGACATTTAGAAAGGAAGTTGCATACCTATCACCGGCCCATTCAGTGCTGCAACAAGAATTTTGCTGTGACTATAGATCTTTCATGATAGGATTAATCGGTCGGCGACACTATGAAAAAGTAAGGATTCCAACATACGGCGTGTGTACAATCCGTGTTAGCAGCCACTACCTCATGGACGAGGTAATCCCTCATCGAGTATTGAGTCAGAGTGTTCGGAACGTCACGGCTCCTGCCTGTCGTTGCCACCGTTTGCGTCAGGTCCGAGCCACTTTCCGAAACAGTAAGCACTAGAAGTAACGAAACGCTTGCTCTGTGGACTTACGCACAGAACCACTTCCCATTTGCTGTGCAAAGATAAGTTGGTGTAAGAAACTTCTGAAAATTTGCTTGCCTTGCCATACAGTTGCTACCACATCTTCTCTTTTATCGATGGCCCGTAAAGAGTTGGCAAATGCGTCATAGTCTGAAAGTTGATGGTTACTCAATCAACGTAGTTTGCTCAAGCACACCACAAACCTTCTAGTGTTAGCGCATTCAGATGGCGAGGTTCATTCAAGGTTATCGTTGCGATGCCCTGAGAAACGTTCACCAAGATTTTACCTGCAGGCATGGTTAAGATGGCGTCTAAGAAAGCGAGAATTATCCAAAGACAACTCAACTGCGATATATCGTAATATATAGGAACAAAATTCGTTACATGAGCATATAAAAGCACTGCAATCAGCATAATCGCTAGCAATGACTCTGATGGCCGTGTCCCGAATACACATGCAGGGAATGAATAATCGGTTTCATCGATAACCGTCAACCACGACGACTATCGTACCTTTGCCGTGCGTAGCTCGTTCAAAATCTACGGATGGGCCCCTCGTGGCAAGTTTTATGTGCAAGCTTGAAACGATGGTATTTGCATTGGAAGCCAGTTGTCCGTCGTACATTGATATTGGAAGATAAGAAGGCACCGCTGTCCCTGTGGCAAGTGCCAGTGTCAGACCAGATTCGGCTCATCATAAAACGTCCAAACAAGTAGTGCCTAGTATAGAAACACGTAAGTATGCGAAAGTGGTCAATACGGGGGATCCGTAAAGTGCAGGAGGGTACTAGTAGTAGGGAACAGGGGGGCTGGACGACGGAGCCGCAGCCCGCGGTAAGATTATGTCGCGGTGTGAGTGGTCCTAAAACGCAGTGTGAGTTTATTTTCGTTAAAATACTCTGTAGCGGGGACCTGCCAGTGAGGGGGTAGACCCTTGATTCAACCTTGATTAGACTGGCGACTAGCCCGTATGAGGCGAGCTGTTGATCGACGGACTGGTAATTCTGGGTTTGAATCTGGATATCCAGACTCCCAGTAACGTGACGTATAAGCCTTTTTGGGGATAATGTTTCTTTCTGGACAAGCTTCACAACTACCATGAATCGGTACTAAGTACTGCAATCTAGAAAGTTACACAATGCCACAGAAGCTGCCTCCCCAAGCTCGCAGGCTTCGCACCATCATCGTCACGGTTCCCATTATGGCAGCAACAGCATGTTCGTCATTCTTCGATGTTTCAAACTTCATTCCGGTCACTCATATTACCTTCAATTGCCTGCAGACGTACTCTACGAGCGTCTCGTGCTCGGAAAACCTCGAAGAACACTGCCTAAGGAGGCACCACAACCTCTTTCTACAACCAATGAATTACTGCCCGAAGGCTCTCATGCCGGAAGTGAACGCTGGTCAAAAGGAGAATGAACATTCGCGTTGTGAACTATGGAAGGTGGAAGGGTGTGCGAAGGCGCTCTATGTAAAATAATGCCAAGTCCTTGAGGCTCACGATCATATTGTTGGCTCTGTGCAGTGCTCTCCGCAATACTATCGAGTGATATGTCAAGCAAGATCATTTGCTCTCGTCTGTCTGAGATATTATGCGTGTTCCCGAGACGCGTGCGGGGTTGAATGAGCGATCGCAGTCTGCGTATGCTGCACCTATACCGAAGCCTGTTGAAAGAGCAATAGGCCATGTTCGTCCTGTAACGTGTCGAGTTAGAACATGTGGAGAAAACAGAGCAAGACACAAACTTCGGAAAATAATGACGGATGCAACGACTCCAACGCTGAAGCCTACACCGCTGCACAATTTTCAGATATTCATACCAACTACAGATGAAAAGCAAGACTCACGCCTTCACCAAGAGATCGGCCACTTGCGGACGCAGTCAGTCGACTCTTCCAACTCAGAACAATAAAAGCACATACGACACCTGTCATACTTGAAAGACCATTAGTTTCGAACATTGTGTTTGACTATAAAACACACCTTCTGGCTAACAATGTTTTCGCTTGATGACGCTTTTTCAGACGACATGGCTTTGGTATGAGATGACGGTCCCGAGCTCTTTGCCACAACCAGCGGACGGAAACGGCAAAGGCATAACCCCTCTCGTGGGGGTCGAAAATCCATTATTGCATTGCATTCGGAGCGAGCCATATGCGCAGTTTCATGGAATCATAGCCTACTGGAACACGATCCGCCCTTGTCTAGACTCTGCAGGCTCTGAGTGTACATCTAGGAAGACTCCAAGGTATATTAGTTCTCAGACATGGCGCACCAGTCGCCCATGATAGCGATCCCCAAGAAGACGACGGGGGACGTCGATTGGACAGCTCCCATACGCAATCTCATTGCCAAGTCCTTCGGCGAGAATCCAGACAACTACGCACAGGAGTGCCAAGCACTGCAACGCTGCAGGCAAGACGCTGTAAAGGGAGCAGGCAGTGATATGACAGGTTCGTCGCTCAAACAATCACGATCTTAGGGCATTCACAACTTTACTTCCCAGGTCGTGATCTGCTCTACAAGTACTTTGGGCAACTCGAGATCCTAGAGATGCGCTTCCCAGAGATACGAGTCAACTTCCCGTGGAATGATGCTTTCACGAACAAGCTGACTACGCAGACAGCTATTGCGTATGAGAAGGCCTCTGTTCTATTCCAGATCGCAGCTACGCATTCCGCCATTGCCGCTTCTCAGAACCGGTCCGATCCAGAGGGGCTCAAACTAGCCTTTTACTACTTCAAGACATGCGCAGGCATGCTCACATATATTAACGAGAATTTCTTGCATGCACCCTCGACTGACCTCAGCCGGGAGGTGATCAAGTTTCTGGTGGGAGTCATTATGGCGCAGGCTACAGAAGTATTTTTAGAAAAGTGCATCGACGAGAAGAAAGCACCTGCATTGATAGCCAAGATTGCATCCCAGTCTGCTTCCATGTACACCTCCCTGAGCGAGGAGGTGAAAGATTTTATGGGTAAGGGCATATTCGATCGCAACTGGATCACTCTCATTCAGGTATTTTCATATTCCGAAACACGAGATTAATATTGACATTTTACGCAGATAAAGTCCAAACACTTCGGCTCTATCGCACAATACTATCGCGGTCTAGTCGACAATAAAGCGGGGGCCCACGGCGAGGCCCTCGTACGGTTCACCCTTGCTGAATCTCTAGCAAAAGAGGCTAATCGCTCTGCTGCATCATTTTCTGCTTTATTTGCGCACGTATCACCTACGCTTCCCGCAGATGCTGGGCCTTCCATCTCCGAACGTACAAAGGTACAGCTTCAACTGAGCACAGACCGCAAGACCGAAGCGCAGCGCGATAATGATCTCATCTACAATGCTGTCCTTCCATCTGCCGATGCACTGCCTGCTATCGAAAAAGCGGTTGTCGCTACGCCTATTTCCATTCAAGAGGTGTATCGCGCACCAGACGTTCAGAATGTTATAGGCGCAGATATCTTCGTCAAGTTAATTCCGTTGAGCGTGCACGAGAGCGCCAGTGTGTACTCTGAAGAGAAGGCAAAGCTTGTGCGCAAAGAGGTTGAGAACGCAGAAAGCGCCGAGGTCGAGGTGCGCAGTGCACTGGAAGCGATGGGAGTGCAGGCGGGACTTGCCAGGTTCAAGGCGATGGCTGAGGGTAGCTTAGGTGGGGAGGAAGAGATCCCACTGGATGTACGCCGCTGGCGAGAGGATATCAACGTCATGGAGGACCGGGAGGGTATCGACATACTTTTGCAACAGATGGCTCGTCTCAAGGAGACTGTCAAAACAGAGCTGGACAGTATTTCGCGGGACCTTGATGTCGAATCAAGAGAGTGCGAGACGATGCGGGTCAAGTATGACCACCTGTGGACACAAGAGCCATCTGCATCTTTTACCAAGTCTATTCGGCAAGACTTGAAATCTCATCTGGGCGCTTTAGACGCTGCCGCCGTATCCGACCAACAGGTATCGACGCTCTGGGAATCGGTCAAATCTGACATTCGACTATTGCTATCACCTGACGTCGAGGATGTCTTCCGCGCTAGCGCCCAACGTGATGCCCCTTCAGAAAGTCTGCTAGATCTTGACATCGGTGCCGAGGCGCACGATGAAAAGGAGCGAATCAGAATCAGACAGTATACTACCGAAATCGAGGAGCGACTGGGACGGTTGAAGAAAATGGCTTATGAGCGAGGTGAAGTACTCAAAGAACTAAAAGACAAGGTAATGTACACAATAATATTATTTGGATTCAACTGATATCATTCCCACATAGATCCAAGCTGATGACGTTTCGCACCTGCTGCTTTTGAATCGCCGTAACCCTGGCGCTGAGCAATCGCTGTTCGCCGCAGAACTCGAGAAGTTCCGCACATACCAACAACGTCTTGGAACCACTGTGCACAATCAGCAATTCGTGTTGAAGGAGATCCAGGGACTGTGGAAGAACTTACGAGACCTTGCTGGGCGTGGACCTGGTGCAAAGAAATGGGATGAACGTGAGCGGCGGAAGAAGGACACCGTACGCAGGTTCTCGAATGCGAGAGATGGATATATGGAGGTCAGGGATGGGTTGACGTATGTGTACTCTTTTCCCCATTCATCGTATCTGAAATTTGGTTCAGGAAAGGACTGCAGTTCTACATACAACTTACTGACCTGAGTGCTACACTTACTGTTAGTGTTAAGTCCTTTATCACCGACCGTCGATCGGAACGCGACAGACTTGTTGGGCAAGCGGATGTCCAGCAGCGACTTGCAGTACCCCAGACACCTGCTGAAAAACCTCCCTTACCACCGCCGCCGCGGCGTTCTGCCCCATCTCTGGACTCATCCTTCGCGTCTATGAATCTACAAGGAAGTCAGAATCCAGTATCTCCTCCACCAAAACCACCACAGGCGTCGTACTCCACATTCCCTCCTCCACCCCAGTCAATCAATGCATATTCGAATCTCCCGCCACCTCCACAACAACCTGCACGCCCAGCGTACACAAATCCAGTGTCGCCAAACACGCCAAGTGATCCATATGCAAGTTTGGGGGCGTTTGGGTCTCAGTTTTCTACTCCACGCGCCGCCCCTCCAGTTCCACGGCAGCAAACGCATTCGGCTTCGCCACAAAGGCAGTCTTCCTTTTCCTTACCACCACCACCTCCATCACGACCGCAGTACGCTGCGAATCCACAGATTCCACAGACGTATGGCCAGCAAGCTCCGCCTCCACCACAGTCATGGCGGCAATATCCTCCTCAGACACAGCCAATCCAGCAGGGTTCACAATACCAGAACATGCCTCCGCCTCCGCCACCTTCACAAGGTCATGACACTCAGCAATATTACCAAGGTTATGGAAGATGATAATTTACGTAGATTCTGATAGAACTGAAATGTGTATGCTTGGAAGGAAGGAAGTTTCATTGGGGATGCAAAGTAATGGAGTGCGGGGCGCATGTCGCCGGAATATAATTTGAGCAGATTGCTGGCGTCGAAATTTCTAGAAGGGACGACTGACAATATTAATCCATCGATTAGTCTAATGCCTGGCCTGATGGGAGTTGGTATCATGAGTCGCCACCGTACAAAACTTTCTTCCCCAACTCCACTGCACGCTGCTCCCACCGCCAGGCGGTTCCGAATAAACCAGCAACCTCTTCGTTCCACTTGGATTGAATGAGTGATGTTAGCGGATGGTGCGTTATACGCATGGATGCAGGCGGAGGAGAGGGAATTGTAGTCGAGGCGTTAGCGATACGCTCCGAGAGGACATGGATACTGTGTAACATGTTTAGTTGGCGTCAGAGGCAAAAAGCTGGGATATGGACGAACTCGGCACGATGCTGGGCAGTTCTATAATATGAACGATGAACAGGTTTGTCTTGAATTCTTGCAAACGGATGGTTGCTCACCTGGTTTGCACCAAGTTTGAAAACCCATGGTAAATCTAAAGGAATGGAACGGTTAGACGAAACCTAATTTTTGGGACAATACGTACACCACCCATCACAAGTGCACCAGCGAGGGAGCCAGCCACGAATGACATGACTATGATGAAAGTTAGAGTGTTAGTAGTATTACGGTTGTTTGTCGGTGCAAGCACGATCGTCGAAGCCAAATACGTCACGACAACCATTGGAAGCAAACGACGACAACGTTCAAGTTGGCAAAACGATGATGAGTCCTCGATAAGCGGCGGCGACAAGACCCTCCAGGAGACAGTCCATGAAAAACGATGACCCGGTCAATATAACGGAGTATTCACCGCTCCTTGACACACCTTCTTCATGACACTGCAATAGGCCATGATAACATCCACAACTCCGAGTTCGTACGAAGTCGCTGTTAACGCCGAGGTCCGACTTCTTAGCTGCTCAGGTATATCCATTATGAACGGGGATTGAAGGCTCTCGCTGCTGGCAGCCACCATTACTTCTCAAGAAGGCCAATGGCAACATCGCTCAGGAAACGTCAGTCTTCTACTGCCGCGGTGGACCGGTTCTTCTTGAGGCATCGGGCCGGTCCACAAGTGCCTATTTGACCCGGGAAGGACTGTTTCTATGAACATGCTAGGTTTTACCTCACTGTTCAATGCGTCAGAGCCGTTGTTGACAGCGGGTGCTCTCAAGGAGCCTTGCGCTCCGAATAATGGCCGGTGAAAGTCAGGGAACTCAGGCTAGCCACTCTGGGGCTATTCCACGTGGACTCTGGGGGTAAAGCTTGCATCGAACAACCCTAGTGCGGTGATGTCTCCGTATTGATATAGGCATTGCTGCCAATCTCAATTATGCTTCCTCGGAGCCTAGCGGCGAGCTAGCTGATTGGTAAATACGACTTCTCCAGTTCTGTCCGAGGTTTTGCTACCCCTCAATATCCAATATTCAATTTCCGTATTTGTGTTTGACGACAGTCGAGAACGTATTGGTTACTATTATGTTGTGCAAATTTCAGAGCAGTATTCAGCTTTTTGGCCCTAGCGTACGTTGATAACATGGCACTCAACTTAACGAGTCACGACCATTATAACAAGCTCTGCAGATATCATAAATGACTTATCGATATATT